TCTTAATGCTAAAAAAAAAAAAAAAAATTAAAATTGTTTGAAATGTTAGATAAAAATCATTATTTGTAATTAAAAAAAAAAAACTTTTTTGGAAAATTACCTTCTTTTATCACAGCTTCGATATATTCAAGTTTACTTAAATCTTCATAGGTAATATTAAAATCAGATCCATGACCAAATACTCGTTCAATTTCATCAATAATAAGTTTCTCAACATCCAAATGATTTCCAACATAATAAACAATAAATAATAGAGTGTTTGCAGGCTTTAAACAAAAAATTATGAGTAAAAAATTATTAATATATAAATATATATATATCTTAAAAATTATCTTAAATATTTAATACTAAATACTTACGCTATCAATTCCTTCACTAAGTATCTCCACCATATTATCAGCAATTTCTTCATCAGTCATGGGAATCTTGTCATCATTAGAAATGCCTCGAGTAATGTCTTTTGGTGTATTTGCAGTTAATAACATATTTAAAATATCAAACGTCAATTTCTCTTTATCGTCAATGGATTCAATTTTTTTTCTATTTTCTTTGACAATATCACAAGCGTAATTTCTTGTCCAGGACATATTCTTGTATAGATAATTTGTGTAAAACTTTATAAGTGGAAAATTACGTAAAAATGGTGGAACCACTAAATAATATTGCACACACTCAGAAGCAAGAATTATACGATCCAAAAATTCTTCATTTGAATCTTGACTATTGTTGAAATTCTTTGTAATCCTATTATAATGATTCGATAATAATTCAAGCTTCTTGCTTGCTGTTAAAAGCATTATTGTTTCTGCAAAAAATTTTCTAATCCAAGGTACAAATTCAATTTCTATTGATTTTTCCTGTTCATCATTCAGAAATTGTCCATGTTCTTCAATCAAACAATTCCAATAACTTTCTAAATCTTGAAAAACATTGTTTAATATTTCCAATTTTAAATTATTAGGTGTCATTATCACCTTAAAAAATTTTCTAATATAAGACCAAGAATTGAAATCTACGTTAAATAATAATCCATTATTGCCTTTCTTTAATTCATCTAAACCATCTTTTGCAGTAACACGCACAAAATAATTACTATCTTTTACTGGACTCATAACTCTTTCAACTATTCGTGGATCACTAATCATTAAATATCTACAAGATCCAAAGTACAATTCAAATATATCTCCATATTTCGAACTTAATTGGTGAAGCCAAGATAAAAAATCATTACTATGATAGTAATATTGATGTAGGTTACCTATGATAGGTAAAGGAAGTGGGCCTGGATATGGTGTTGAACGAGTGAAATAGTCATAATAAAACTTTAGAATGAATAATACAACAATAGAAGCAAATAAATCTAAAATTGACATTTTTGATGAAATCGATAAAGTTTCCTGAAAGATTTTCTGAAAATTGATATAGTTACACGATTATACGTATAATTCAAGTTGTTAACGTTAAGGAATCAACAGATCGAAAAGATGGCTAAGCAAGGATATGCAAGAAGAAACTTGTTAGAACGCACAAATCAACTGTACAGTATGAGTGTTAGACATCAATTTAACCAAATCAAGCCGGCAGATAATGTCGCATGAGAAAGCATGTGCATTCAGATAAGTAAACTCATCATTTACTCAATTTGGAAATTACTTACTGTACAACGATGACGGTTCCGATCAATTCACCAAACGCTCATTTAACCGACATCACATAGGGTTAGGGTTAAGCATTTG